CACAGGGCATTCATTCTTGTCTTAATGCATACAATGTTTGTGAATTATAACAGCGATATTTAATATATAGTTAATAAAATAATTTGAAAGAGTTAAGTAATCTTCTTTTATAATGCTTTTAAAAGAGAAGATGCTTTAAGTAAACGTAACATTTTTCTAATGTTTACTACTGAAAGTGATCCTAAGAACAGTTATATTACGAATAAATGAGCCTTACCCGTCAACCTGTGTAATAAGTTGTTTTCCCGCGTTAAATTAATCTCTTAAGTTAGCAAGGCTTCGAAATTAATAACAAAACATATTTGACATTCACTGAAAATTTTTGACCGTAGGGGAAAAATTGTATATTCTAAATATATGTTGTGATAGGTTTTTTGTTCTCGAAAATTATGGCCTACAGGTTGTTTACCTATCATAATACCGAGCTTCGAAATAATTGGTACAAAGTTTTAGGGCATGTAGGATGACCCAAGTGGTAACTTTTTACCGAAAAAAATATGGAAAATTTAATATAACGATGTAAATTGTACTATTTGCTACAGGATGGTAGGCATCAAGCATTGGTTTTTGGCGACATATATTGGACAGAGTCAATTATTTTTCTGTCAATCACCAGTGCGTGATGTATTGCCTACCAATCAGTGGCAATGATGTAACCTCTTACACTATATTTGTTTCCCGTTCACGTTCATTGGCAAAATATGATCCCTTTCGCCCCTACCAGCCCTAGAGGATTGTAACATTTATTTTTAACATTGTGTTTTATTAAAGAACGTAATCACTTTGGAATGTCGGACGAATTTTGTTTATTTATTTCCAAGGCGTTTCCGTGCGTTCGCGGCAGGGCAGCGCCGCTAACTTTCGTTGCTTCTCTTGTTGCAGTCGCTGGAGAGCACCCGGCGCATGAAGGCGCTATGCGAGGAGGTGAGTGCTACCGCAGCCGCCCCGAGCGCCGCACACACTCACACGACGCCCCCGCCCTTCTACAAGACACAATAGAATATTCAACGAAATGTGGTTCAGCAGGTGGAATTTCATATTCAGGGAGCTTTCTGTTTCGGCGACGTCATTTCCTGAAACCGCCTTCTCCGACAGTTGGAGTGCTTCTTCCAGCGTCTTTCTCTCGAAGCTGATTAGGAGACTTCCATTCGACTTCATGATGGGGTCTTCTCCTCCCCTTAATGAATAATGAATGGGAGAGACGAAAGGAGTGTTATGTCGATGACACAATATTCTGCCCAAGTCGCTGTCACTTTTGAAGGTCTTGTCTTGTTCTTGTGTCTGTTTGTTTAATCTTCGACGTAAAAATCTATTTAAAATTACTCGTAATTAAAAGTCATTTTTCTTACGCAATAAATATTGATCCTGTTTCAAAAGCTTCATCAAACAATAGTATTAAAATAAAATTAATATTGTTTATTATAATGATACATAATTTGATTCGATTATTTAAAAAATCTATCACACTTTTGAGGCAATTCCACATTATTACGAGCAAAGCCTACGCACATTAAATGGAAATATAATTTCTTTGTACATTTAAAATTATAAAATATAGTTGTTAAAAAACAAATTTAAGCAATTCTCAGATATAGTAGCTTTTAAAATATAATTTTATGATTAGCATTTTTTTAATATTTCGAATTACAGATATAAAATAAAGAATGGCGATATGAAGCTGTTTTACATGGAATCTGGACTTGTCTTGTGTTGAATATTTTGCCTCCTTCGCGATCTTTGTTAACTACTTGCTTTTATGGGTAAAATAGAGGACATGTTTGACAACTTAAATTTATTTTCGGAACCGGCCTGAGGCGACTTTGTCCTTATCATGAATCTAATGATGTACTAAATAAATGTTTAAAGGAATAACACAAATAATGAATTTTAAATAATTGTTTAACAATATCTAATCATATAAAATAAAATATCAGAAAGAAACAAAACAAGTTGCTCCGCTTACGTGACAGACGAGGTCGAAGACCGACTGCAGATAGGAGTTCGGAACGTTGTTGAATTGCTTGTGTAGGAGTGGGAGAGGGGAAGGAGGAGGTAGGTCAGCTCTCTCGAAAAGGTCTTGAGAGTCATGAGTTGGTGGGGGAAGGATATGTAAAAGAGGTATCAGATGAGATCCAGGGAAGTTGGTTTCTTCACTGAGCAGAATTTCAGATTTCTGGATGGATTCAAAAATGGGAAAAAATGTAATTCAGTCCTGTTCCATATTTCATTTTATTGGTACCCTTCGTGAAAACACCAGTCAGCCTACAAACCTGATTGAGACTCATTTTAAAACTTTTGGGGAACGCTTTCGATTATTTAAAAAAAATCGTCTTTGAGGAAATTTTACCTGGTATTATTGTAATTTAATACAATTCAGGAAGATTAATTCAACATTTTGCGTTTATTTAATTTTCTACAAACGCGACAGGAGTGGTTCAATGGGCGGGGAAAAGAAACAAATATTTTTGTGCTGTTCAATACAATGCGAACACACACTTCTCACACATACATTCCCTCTCTAAATAGAACCCTCAAGCAAACAGTTCACACGACTTTGCATTTTCTCGTTCCTCGCACAAGTGACTCGAAAAGAGCACAGAGCCGCCTCGTCCCTCAGCCGCCTTAGGGACGAAGATTGGTCGCCAGCTCATCCCATCAACATGTTCTTCTCATCTCGCTGTCTTTCCTCCGGTTTACGGTTGAAGCATGACTTTGATCATGTGAGGCGGACATAGTAAAATTGTTTTGTTCGCTGCAATATCTTAGAAGTACATGATATTGTGGAAAGTAAATATTTAAATTCAATCTACTTCCTCGGTAGGTGGTGGTGTAGCCAGTACCTGCTCCATTCTCCCTCTTTCGAAACGCCTTGTCTTTGTCGGAATCCACTGTGGGCCCTGATGGCTGAGGAAGTGTCGCACCGAACGCGCGCCCTGCAGAGGGGCGAAGGGCGGGCTAGTCCTAGCGATGGAGGCGGAGACGTCGGAGGGGACAGGAGGGACACCCCCCTTTCAGTCCCAAAGTCCGAAGAGTACTCGCCTGACGCCTCAAATACTTCTATTTCCCCCCACCGTATTCAAATAGCTTCCATCCCGAATCGCATGAGTATGTAACTGAATCCTCACCTACAGAGTGAAAACATTTTAAACAGTTGGAAGTGTATTCCACTCAATAAATAATACCATTAACATTTCATATCAACACATTACTTCGTACTCTGCAGATACCTTACTTGTAAAACTCTAAATAGACTTCACTCACTTCAGTTGTCAATTCCGTATCAATGAAACATCCATTATAGAGACAAATGGTGTAATTTGCCGCACTAAACTTGTTGGTTGTCAGAAATGGTTGGTCATTAGGATCCATGAAAATTGTGTCAACATGATTCTCATCCCATGGGCTGACGTTCGTAGCGTGATTTGAGGAGCCGCCTGCTGGCAAGATGGCGTCCTCGCCAAAGCGCGGGCTCAAGGCGTTCGCTTGACGGTTCCCCGCCAAGATAACCTGCATGGACGGCAGTTGTTTTAATTCGGGCCCCAACCCCCACGCCGCGCGGCCGCGCCTGCGGCAGCGCCGCCTCGCCCGCCTCGCCGCCTCGCCGCCGCGCCCGCCTGCTCTGCGCCGTGGAAGGTAAGGCGAGCGATTCTCCGCTTCCACGAAGGCAGGGATTTGGACTGTTCCTTGACGCAGAGAGGAGGTCACTTGAACGCCCCCGCTCGTTTCCGGCCCGTCGCTGCGACTGCATGTTCGCGCTGGCCACACGCATGAGCCGTGAGCACGCCTCCAACTTTGCCGAGAGAAAACCAAGTGGTTATTGACTGACAACCCCGCACGGAGTCAGATGCGAGTGTAAAAATACGTTCTGTAGCATTTTACTTAACCCATACCTTCAAGATACTTCTTAGAATGATGAAATTGAGGGTCGTGAGGTTATCAATACAGTGGTCTTTTGTTACTATAGTGCCGTTTGGCCCATTTATTTGGTTCGTTTCAGAGTTCGTCAGTGAATGAATGCATAGCTTGCTATTTATAAACCAAACGTTAGGTGAAACGTTTCGTGAAACGCTAGATGTAGGTTCGCAAGCTCTGCATCGCGTCGTTACTATTTACGCGATATCTTCCTAGATCGACGAATTTAGACAATCCATTACACCGAGTTTATTTACAAGTTTATTGACTTACCCTCACGACTCACAATTTAATAGAAACCACGAGGTCAAGACCAGAGGTTCTATCTTGGAATGTTAGATTCGCATCTTTCAAAGAATATTTTATTGTCTGAATGTGACGCGGTGGCCAATCAATTGCGACTTCCCTTGTCGCAAACAACTGACCGACAGCGGCCACAGCCACCAGTCGTTCCTTGAAATATGTAATTTGATTAGACTAGAAATGTTTAATTTTTTACGGCACCCTTCAGAATATTCTAGGTTTTATATTACTTTTCAATATATTACTGTTCGCAAACTCCTTTGAAACTCAAACGTCTTTGTAAAATGACACAATGCATTTTCATCATAGATATTCTATCTTAAACATTTCCATATTCAAGTCAAAGTTATTACATTATATATGATGTACGTTATATGAATTGAACAAATAATTGTTTACTAGACATACACGGAGTTTGTAACTATTAATTAAAATTTTCCTTAGTCCAGATACTCATTTTATGTAGTATTGGTCCCAAGATTAGGAACTTTTTACTTTTTTGTTTAATCGTGTCCTGTGATATTAATTGGCTATTACTAAGACCTGTGTATAGGAAGTTTAATTTACTGCAAGCTGCTAACTGACAAATCTTCTATTAAGGTAACTCCTAAACGTGAGTTCGCAAAGTGCAAAAGAGGTTCCTCCGTTGAGCAACGTGGCTGCTTGCCATCGCCATCGACGCCAATGACGGCAAAGAAACGAAAGAAGCCCGCGTTCTTTCCCCTCTGCCAAAGCGAACAGTCGAAGTCCCTCTCGGAGTAGAAACGAAGAATAGAGAACTGTAGATGCACGACGCTCCTCGTCGACCTGTCTTGTCGCAAGAACACGAGTCAAGCAACAGCACCACAAGACGACAGCAGCACACAGAACAGAAAACTACGGCTCGACTCTCCACCTTCCACATGGCAGCTCCGTCTATCGCTGCGCGCTTTATTTGTCTCTTCGCCGCTTTGGTCGTCCCTCCTGTTGCTCCGACCGCCTTTCTCTGTGTGTGTGTAGGTGTTGCAACGCTATCCTTTCGCTGCGCTCCTGTCTAGTGGCTGTGCGTGTGTATACTATTTCTGCTGGATGTACCACATCTCTGTGCATTGGGCCCTCTGTAGCAGGCCAAGTCATCGTGCTCAGTTGTGCATGTTCTGTGTCGATGTGGGGATGGCCCCATTCCACTATGTTTTCCTGAACCGTTTTGACCCTCAAATCGCGCGGAACAGGCGCGTTCAAAGACATAAAAAATGTTTTACGTAACAAATTATAATTGAAGTGTAGTTCCAAATAGTCAAATCTAAATAAGGCGGAGCAGGATAAATGGGGAAGTTTTATCATTGAGACTAGTTATGAAGTCTCGACTTGTTTATGTGAAAAATCTCCAATTGTGAGAATGTAAAACCTTTATGAGTGAGACTGCTTTACCATCCAGATTTTTCTTGGTGTTTGTAAACTGAGGACTGTCTATTCTTGTTGCTTTTTAAAATATCATTTGGAAACATTTTCAATACTTATAACCATATACCTACCGAAAGTTCTGATGAAGACTAGAACGCAAGAAACGTATGAAGCTCATTTAATCTTTTGTACTCATGCCTGATATTTTAAAGTATCAGTTAAATTTCTAGCCAGCAAGTGAAACATTGAACTACTGTCCACATATGAATAACGCAAGACATGTGAAGAACTTGTAAAGAATTTTATGTGCTAAAATCAGCACCCTTAATTCAAATTTTGTTCTCGGGGGCTTGCTCGGAGAAATAAACTAGTACAAAACACAATCTTTATAAATAAAATTCATTGTAAATTAACTGCATTTTTTATTAACGTACTTCTTAGTAACAGACAAATTTGATACAAAATTTCTTAAGTGAATTCCTCTGTAATTGCGACGAACATTTTTTGTACGTTAATAAGCGAGAAACAGAATATGTGAACCCCTCTTTATGTGAGAACCACATTTGACTCTTGAAATCTCATTTAGCCAAAATACGTTCTAATTTCTTTATGTATATATAACAAAAAATTATAATTATGAGCAGAGTTAGTTTTAGTTCGGCAATATTTTTTCAGTATTAAATTAAATTGCGCATAAATATAGAAAATAAAGAATATAAACGTAGTTGGTTCCGCGCATGTAGTCTGTTTGAAAAACGGCGGTCGTGAGTTCCTGACTCGTATTCGCGACAATGTAGGTAATCATTTGATATTAACTTCATTTTAAAAATATAAAATATTCTTACGGTGAAGTTTCTGTGTAATTCTTTTAGTCTGTTTGAGATATTATTTTAAACATCGTACCTTCACAAATACTTGTTAAACACTTTCAAGGTACTGAATTTTATTGAAGTACTTTATTGAATCTTGCACATACTCATTCAATAAAGTACAACTTCCCAAAGACGAGAAATTACAGTCGAATTTTTCTGAGTGGGATTTCACGGGACAGACATACTAATAAAGTCACTGGAAGCGATGCCTCACATAACCCATTTTTCGCATATTCAAGATCAAAAAGTATTCATTTCACTTACTGATAGATTCACTTTTTCAGGTATGAATTACATTTCTTTTAGATACAAACGTAAATGCTAAACAAAAAATGTAATACTTTTGCAAGACACTTTACGTTGCATTTTATCATTTCATAAATGAATTGCAAGTAAAAAGTAAATAAGGCAGTCCATTTTGGCACATTAAATTATTTACAAACTTCATGTGCATCGCATTCGTTACATAGTACATGCAGAACCTTCAATTTTGTAACTCTCTGGCAACAGTTTTAGCTTCTGCTTTAGCACTCGCGATCTGCGAACAGCGCATTTATACGTTCTTATTGCGCGATTTGCCTTTACACAATTTGGAGTTGGCGAATTGAAGAACGTACAGGAATATTAAAAAACTAGCTCAATGGGGCTTTGCCGAGGCTGTAAACTGTTTTAAGAGTATTTTCTTGTATTAAAAATTTCTAGATGTCTTGCTTAGCATTGTTTAAATAATTTCCTACAGTATCTGGTATAGAACATACCATTGAGCTGTAGGAGCTGATAATTTGGTACACTCATTCAAACAATCCAAGCACCCGATTTCAATTTCAATTGTAATCTCCGTAAAAAATATACGGATGACATGAATTTAGTACAGCTACATTTTTTTACTAAAACGCGCAAGAATGCACATAAAAGATTACCTATATGTTGTTCTTCAGCATTATTATCTAATCCTAATGTAATTCCAAAGTAGTTCCGAAAATTATATCACAAAATCTTCTACAAATATATTTGATTCTTGCCCGGATTTGCATAGGATTCTTGCATTTGCATTCTTCCCCAGATTTCCCCGCATTTGCGAGAAAAAATGGGTACTGGTAATGGCGTTTAACCAACACCACCTAGATATATTGAGGAAACGTTTGTTTAACTCCCGGTCTACCCAAGACGATCGCAGCACTGAAACACATTTTTTGAAATGTCATAGAATTATGTGGTCAGATCAGAAAAGAATGTCAGTTCCCCACCAGGAGAGCGCGATGCGTGGATGGCGCCTCGATGTCTCGATTGGTGCGCGGGAAGCGGTCTAGCCGTGAGTGGCGGACGAACGGACGGGCGCCCTCCGTTACTCAAATACTGTATAGGGATTGCGGAACATGCTCTCTTTCTGCGAAACGCAAGAATGTCAACTCTTCGAGCAAACGCTGAGAACAATCTGGACGGAAAAGCAGTCTCTGCTAAATATGTTTTATATTTTCACTGATTGAGTATCAAAATGACTTAATTTAGTGTCACTGATAGACGTTTTTGCTTAGTTCAGGTAACATTCACCTAGTTTGACTACATTTCCCCTTTTACCTTGAAGCTATGTCATGATGAAAAGAATGATCGACTACTACAGGACTGCTCACGTGGCCGGTCTAACTTGCGTTCTTGCGTTTGAGTAGGTATCCCCGCTGCTTGACAAGTCAGTTCGACGGGGGAGGGGGGCAGGGCAGGGGAGGCATCGGCTCCAGTGTAGAGCAAGGTGAGTGCCGAACGCAATTACAACGGGCCACCGCGGTCAGTCTGATTCCAATTCTTACATTATTGAGCAGCCTTACACTACTCAACTTGAAGTCGGAACTTGGTAGTCGGGTGTGCTGATCCCCTTATCCTTCCTCTGATCCCCCATAGAACGCTGTTGCTCTGTGCATTCTCCCCTTACATTTTTCTTTTCCAACAACGGGGGGGGGGTCTCCTCTCTTAGCTTTGGGGCCTGGGCCACGGGGCGACTGCTGGGCCAAGTAATCGAGTATTCGCCGCTCACTTATTCTAGCTCGTGGTTAGTCTAACAAATACCAACACTCAAGGGTATTCTGCACTCGGGCTGAATACCTGAGAGTTTCTCCTACATTTCAACCTCTCCACGTAGAACGTCTTCAGCGATTTCTCGAAGAAATGTGTGAGCAGCCTGATGAGATTTCTAAGTGAACACCTCACCTTTCATGATTACAGGTCAGAATAGTCTTCAGATAGGAATTTTCATCCACATTTTCTTTACTACTATTTGTTTCGCTAGTTGCTTCTGCATACTTCATTTTGATAAGTTCGTTTATCAAGTAAAGTAATCGATATTTTGAATTTTTTGAATTTATGAGTAAATAGAGTTTGAATGGCTTAGCTCAATTATGGGATATTTGAGCCTCGAATATTCGATTACATTTGCTCGAATACTCGTGACTCGAATAAGTGCTATTATCTTGGTGCTCATGTCTCATTTGTTCTGCTCAGGGCAAGGAAGCTGGAATTCGGACTTTGGTCGCTCTAGATGACCAAGAGGGTAAGTTTTCCATACTTCATTTGGTCCCTTGTAGGTATTATTTTGACACGCCGTTCTTATTTTCTTTAATAAATTATTTATTAAAATACTTTAGTTTTATTAATTTAAAATTGTGTGAGTAAAAATATATGAAAGATTTAGAATTATATCAAAACATGAAAACAGAAAGGGAAAAGTTTTATTGTTTTTTTAATATAATCCATATTGGTTCATAAGTACGAACATTATATAAAAAGGCTAATTTGTTTCATTAATAAATCATATAAATGATGTTCTAAACATGCTCGTAAATTCATGTTGTTTAAAAGCGATGTCAATCAATACCACCAGCAAAGAAAGAATAAAAATGTCTAGCGATAACAAATATATTCTTTATTCCAATATAACACGATATTTACTCTTATACGTTACGATTTCGTTCCGGAATTATGAGGAATTCTTACAAAAATACCACTAACAACAGTGTACATGAAATCATTAAAATCCGTTTAATTAGTAATTATTGCATTCTGTGAGTGATAATATTGTGACAGATACGTGAACTGCCATGCATACGAGTATTTCTGATAACTGGTTTCTGGCATCTACGGGTATGTCGTATCACATGTTTTCCGCTGATATTATACAGTACTTCACAACCATCTTATTTTTCGGTATAGAATTTTGTTTCTATTACAAATATAGAGCGAGAAATCGTTAGAAAAATGGATACTTTTGTTTATGTGTGATTTTATTTATCCAATGGAAAACGTATGAGTGAAGAGAGTTTTACCCCACCATCTCCTTGGAGGGTGCTATTTCACACCAATGTTTTAACTGCTATGCCCTGTGTTCCGTTCAGAATACCACAACACACTGATAAGTTAAATTATAAATACAGACCTAAAATGTTAATGCATAAAAGGGTTTAAAACTGTGTTTAAAAATTTTCAGGAAATATATTGATGTATTATCTTCCCTCTGTGGTAATAGTATTTTACTCCAAGTAATTTGTATGGAAGAGTCTATTCTATGAAGCTTTGTTTGCATTTGAAATCTAAAAAATAATTGATAACATTTTGAATTGCGAGAGCAAAGAGACAAGTTTATAGTCATGCATTCATGACAATTGAACGAGTACAATATCAAATTAGATATTATAGAAAACAAAATTAAATGCCGCTTTGTTTGCGATAAACGGCTAAAATAGTTCTGTAAACATGTTTAACATTTATTTCAATTATTAAATACTTCTTTAAAAGAATTGCTCAACCCATTTGATGTGATTTTGCTAAAATACATTACGTAATAAAAAATTAACCACTCTTTAAATTTTCTGATCACAGCCCCGTTGAAAATTCCCTGACTGAAAAAACTGAATAGATGACTGGGGCATAACGCCGGTCTTGTTTTCCCACAGAACAACTGGAGCGGATTGAAAAGGGAATGGACGAGATCAACGCAGACATGAAAGAAGCTGCGAAAAGTTTGGCGGCTATGGCCAAGTGCTGCGGGATCTGCGATCTCTCCTGTAACAAGTGAGACTTCACTGCATGAAACGAGAGCGTGATCCAAAAAAATATCCCCAGGAAATAAATTGCTTTACTGTGTAAATTAGAAAAGTATTTAATGTAAACTTTTGTTCTTTAACGACAGTTTTTCGGTTAAACAGATATTTAACAAGAATTTTAAAAAGGCATTAGAATTCGTTTAAAGCATGCCCGTTGTAAATTATTTATTTTAAGCATAAGGAGATCATTATTATATTATATCATTTCATTGTTTCCAGATTTAAAGAAGGGGTTTATGCAAAGAACTGCATATGCAAAGAAATGTTATTAAGACTGTTAAATGATATTTAAGTGCATTTATTGAAAATAATTACGTGAAAAAGAATGTGTTATTGATCCATTGACTGCACGTACTACACGTACATAACTTACACATATGTAAGCTTACGTTAACTGGTAGGTGGGAAGGATATGATTAAACATTCTTATTTCTCAGGGTTAAACATATTTCTATAGTTCTTTTTTAATGGTATAAATTAGGATCAACATTAATTTTTCTTTGGCTATTGAAATATTGCTTTACGTGAAGGGGGATATTGTTTTCGATCGAAGTGGATTTTCTATATACATTTTACTACGTCCATTGCATTACAGAATAACCACCTCTTTGAATTGTGAATTAATAGAGAACAAATGTCACCCACGTTAAAATTGTTTTCATTTGTCAAGCTTTCAATATCTGATTCACATGTGTAAAAAAGTGCAGTTGTCAAAACAGACAATATTATTTTTACAGTTTTCAATGTTATTTGTTGATTTTATAATGTGTAATTACAGTAAAAATAAGTTGCTAGTTCATGATTAAAACGCCAACGGGGCGGAAAAGATAATTTTTCGCGTTCAATAAGAAACTGATGTAAGCATAGTGCTGTGAATTATTTCGAACTAACAAATAAAGTAAATATTTTACCTAAATATTGATAAGGTGACTTTATGTACTATGTTTATCTAATCATTTTTTAATAAAAATATTTGTAATAATCAATTAGGTCTTCGTTTTAAACAATAATGAATGCTTAAATTCTATTAAAATCCATGAATTCAATAGTTTTTAATTACCTACAGTAAATCTAGAATAAGCGACAATAAATTAAAGTGCATCCGTTAATTAAGGAACAATACGTTTTTATGAATTGTGTAATAAGGTAAATGTAGACATTTGAATTACGAAGAATGCATTAACTGAAATTTTCAACCTTAAATAATATTAAAATGTTATTCACGTATTTCTTTCTACGTCACATAAAAACTACTCATGCATTTTCTAAATTTGGTGTCTTTATAATCGGAGAAACTACAATTGTGAGAATATGCTCGGAAAATATAAAGTTGCTAATATATACTTTGATGTTTTTCCGAAGGTCGTATTGCCATACGAAATCTACTTTCCTTTTTAGAATATCTGTATTCATTCTATTTAACAAGAAACGTTTCGATTTCCATTCCTTAGTAATACCAATTTTACATTTCAAATGTCAGGGTAACTCCACTGCCCAAATCTTATCTACCTCATATTAATAAATAAAAAATAACTAAATGTTTTCAGTGCTGAGTATGCTCAGGTCACTGGGCCCGCTTTTCAGCTTGACAACTTCCAAAAATGTAAAATGCAATAATCAACAGAGATGCGATTGCCGATCCAGTGGCCGAGATCTTTAATTTATAGCCGAAGCGATCTCGGACCGAAGGAACGCAGTCCCGCGACAGGCATGGTTGTAATTGTGTTCGTCCTTTCACCCCCTATCATCACCATATCATGTTATCTTCACAGTTACCATTACGTTAAATCCAGTAGTGGTCGCCAACGGCCTAGATGTTGATGCGACCTCAAATGACAAAAAAGCGATTACAAAAATTTCGCTTTAAGGAGAAAGTGAGGGGGAGGAGGAGGTGGATGGAGAAGAAAAGCGCCCTCTTGTGTCCACAGGTCCTCCTCGTCCAAGGAGGACGACGCCGTGTGGAAGGGAGACGACGATTCCAAGGTGGTGCAGAACCAGCCGCAGCGGGTGATGGACCCCAACTGCATGGGGCCCCAGACCGGATACATCGGAAAGTACGTCACGAGGCCCACACACCGCAAATAAACAATGTGGTGCCGGTGGTGCGTCGTTCAATGGTCTTCAAAATAGCACCTCAGCATACCATACGAATAATCATACAGTAATACACAGAGTGATTCAGACCTCATTGCTAATACAGGACCCTGTGATAAAGTGCATTAAGTTATGAGTGCAAAAGGAAAGAGTGTAAACTCTATTCAAAATTTTGAAAAAAATGTTTGACATTAACAATTTTTTGCAACAAAGGTAGCCCAAATATTACATTAAATACTGTGTCCTGTTACTTATATTGCCTACTTATATAATGAATATGAAAGAGTGAAAAAACTATTATTCAAGTGTTATTTAGGATAGTTTATATTTGCGAATGGAGCTAAAATTTCGCATTTTCACGTCGTGTAACCGGGGCGCGACAAGTGTTGAAAATGGCGCGAACGCAACGTAGGCATTTGCGCCGCACGGCCTCTGTGACGCTCTCAACTTCGCCGGGTTGTGGCTTTATTGGTGTCGCCACGCTTTCACTGCGCCGAAGGTCATCCCCGTGCTCGACTTCGATATCATAAACGTGGTATTTCATCAAATCCCAGCTCCAAAAGTGCTACGCGTGACAAGCGGATTTCCTCGGCCCTCGTGTGCAAATTGTGCACATTAATTGTGACAGATCTTGCTTCATCTGGTCAAAGAACGACATTTCTGGTTTTCTTTGCATTTGTGCAGGAAACGCCTTAAAAATTGTAAACGACGTTTCAAATGTCTACTGCACAAATGCTGCACCTGCTGGAAATGAAATATCGTAATTTCCCCCCGTGAATTGTTCGCCAAGCGACGGACTATGATGCGACCTCACGCAGTTTGCCTTGCGCTCCCTTCCGGGGCTTCTCTGATAGTAGAAAAAAATGGGTTTTCCAGAGAAGGGGTGAGAGGAGGAGAGCCGCTCGCTCACTGCCAGAGCCCATGATACACGAGCACAAGCGCATTGTCCGAAGTTTAGCGTTAATTATTTACAAAACTAAACGACGAAGAGTATCCAATTTTGCCAAATTCACTCTGTACATTACTTGAGGGATAAGGTCGTGGCGTATTAGCAAGGAGCACTGAATCATCCTGTATGACATTACTGTAATGTAAATTAAATATATATTATACATTTTCTTGTAGAAGGACTCATACATCATCTTTTGGTATAACTCATTTCGTTCGATTGTTTTTATCGGACGGAGGACTAATTAATCCTTGACTGACACCGGCAGTTCAGAATAGCTTTATCGTTCCTCTCGTTACGTTACTTTGAGATAACAGTACATTATTAAGAAAATGAATATACTCATCACTAAATAGGCCAATAGAGATGGAATCATTTCAGTTGAAGAAAACAGACACACTACCTTTTCCACAATTAGATGTTTATAATATTTTGTGGAACAACGCTTCGTTACTGTACAACCGTTTGAGCCGAAACTTAGCCCGCCAGCCGGTCGCCAGAATTCCAGTGCACTCGCTGTTCGCAAATGGCAGTATTGACTTCCCAAGTCTGGAATAACGCTTCGAGTCTTAGAAATGCGCTTTAAGTTCCAGTGACAAACAAGTTTCAACGAAATCGAAATATTGCAAAAAACCCTTTTTACGGCAATCTGTGATACTGATTTCAAAAAGACAAATAAATTATTTATTGCGAGTATTATGAGGTTAACGTCGGTGGGTTTCTTGATCCAGAATGACTCAATCTCCATAAGTGATGAATTTGGCATACAGATATTTTAAACCAAAATATTATAATGTAACTATTTGACGCGAGTGAAACATAAAATTGAATTCTACAGAATTTGTCATTAATCATTCTAATAGGGATAGTGACACTTCGAGGTGAAGCGAATGCATTACGAAAGTAGAATGCACGGGTCTATTTTTCCCAATATTTTAATCAAATCTTGTTTAAAATTTGATTTTTCAGTTTAACACACCACTCAATAATTACGAAAACTGGAAATAAATGGAGTATTCATTACTACATTAGAAAGTGAACAAGTTTTTTGACAAACACATCTAGAAAAAAATATTGGATCACACGGAATCGTAAAAGTTCAATAACTATCTTCAATAATACGGGATTTAAAAAAGGGCTGCTCAAATGCAATAATTTGGGTCAGGCTTCCCACAATGGCTCGCTGCAGTGGTCCGTATGTCACTTGCCTCTCGCTAGACTAGAACCGTTCGCGCCCGAGCTAATCCCCTCCCCTTTTATCGGTCCGACTTGACAAGCAACGCGTCATATCGGTGAATTGCAAGTCGGCGCTGCGCCATGGAAGTTCCCTCGAGCAGCCCTGCTCGAAACTCAATCCGAGAATAACTCTTTCTTTCTCTCCACGCACAGGATAACCAACGATGCCAGAGAACAGGAGATGGAAGAGAACATGGAGGAGGTGAGCGCCATGGTGGGCAACATGCGCAACATGGCCCTGGACATTGGCAACGCCCTCTCCAACCAGGAAGTACTCATCAACAGGATACAGAGAAAGGTACCTTTGCACGCACGCATCATGACTGCATGGTAGATATTTATTATTAATTACTCAAATGTAGCTATAATTATTAAGTTTGTCCAATCCGTTCCTTCAACTTTTTTTGAGTTATTTAGATTTAGTCGCTGTAAGCGAACTCTGGTTGTCAAGGAATAGGGAAGTATTAAATGTTCTACATTCAATGTTTTTTAACAATGCTTTTTTTGAAGGTAATGGACTGATCACTTGATCATAATCCACCATAAGTCAATTAAATGCAATTAACGTAAAGTTGACTCGAAAAATTCTCTACAGCTAAAATCGCATCGCACTTCGTTTATCTTTAAATTCAGTTGATATTTGTAAATGAATATAAATATATAAATTCCTGAAGACTTTACTACAAAATACGGAATCTCTATTGCAAATGTGCACTTCCACAACTCGCTTAAAACTCAATTTCTCCATTCCACTATTTGATTCTTCCCCTCCGTAGAAACGATCCCTACTCAATTCGAAGTTGCCATGAAGTTGACACGATCTACGTCATGAACAACAAAACCTTAGCTCAAAATAATCCATTGTGATCTCAAACAATAATAGTGGTGCTACAACAGCACACTATCTCTCGCATTCCTCCAAATGTTTGCAATTTTTGAAAATGCATATTTCACCAAAAGTGAGACCTGAGTCTTTTTTAAGATAATTAAAATTAATTTATAATTTTAAAAAAATAAAGCAGAACTCATTTTTCTAAACTTTTTGAAGTTTGCCTGGGCTGCAAATTAGCCATCATGTTCAGTCAAGAGGAAGAGACGAAACGCGCCAATGTATGATTACATTGAAAACCCAACAACCAAAGCAGTTGTTTCTCAAAGCCTGAAAAGAGGGCAGAGAAAACGGGTACTAACTATGCATACTACAGGTGTCTCAGAATAAGTATTAGAAACGTCTGGATGATGTGTAGGGATTCATGATCATTACTGTGTGCCAATGAACGTGGGTTGGGAAATATTATATAATAAAGTCACACATACGACGTCTATTCTGACTGTTATTCAACTTGACATGCACTAGCGTTCGGCAGGTACACAAAATATCTTTGTGTCAGAACGTGCTTTTCCGAACAACAGCGCGTAAAGATTTGTCTACCAGTCCCGAGAAAGTGTCAAATATACAAATTCTTTACGTAAAATTTCCCACCTTGTACTCGTTGGCCAATCGTAATCGTCTCCGACGCCCTAGAAGTTAGTAACATTAATCCTTCGCCTGCATGAATAGTGAGCAATCTGCGCCCTTGTTTCAGGCCGACTCCAACGTGCACAGCGTGGCCGAGGCGAACGAGAAGGCTCACGCCCTGCTCAAGTAATCTGCGCTCCTCCGGACATCCACCGTCACACCACCACAACTTTAAACAAGTGCTTATTAACCTCTCCATTATTATATCTACTGTAGAGCAGTTGAATGTAGCATGTTCTGCTCTGATGCATCTCCAAGATAAGTAGTATATGAACATTTTTACCTGTTATGAATATCTTGTGTTTCGATGACACACTGACGTTACTTCATATTGCATGGCTAGTCCGATAGGAATGCTATGTGACGCAGGAAATGCAGTGCTGGTGCAGGGCCATTTGCGATCAGCAGCCTTCTAGTGTTCTCCACTCATTTCCTTCTGAATACCGCTGACGCATTCTTATCTTGGTGACGTTTGTCAGGCTACCATACAGTTCATCACGTCATGAATGCGGGTTTGGCACATGAATCTGCATGTACTATACGAAACGGCCCACTGGTCATAGCACAATTATCACAACCCGAGGCTGAGTTTTATCTCGGGGAGCAAATGCTCGAAATAACATATTGTACTGCTGTTAATATTGCCATGCATTTTATTCTATTTTTAACTCATTTTGTATTTGAATGAGACAAATAGAGATAGATGGGTCTAGGGGATGGAAAACAAATATCTTCCAGCATTTAATAAGGTTTTATCATAAACATTCTTTCCCGTAGCTGGGACTTCTAGATGTTCGTTTCACAAGTAAAATTTTACAATGAATTTAATATCAACAAATATTATAACTTTGTTATACAAATTAAGAACTCAAACTTATTTATTTTGTAAAACAAAAGTAGATGCATTACGGTTGAGTAGCAATTTGATATTTATATCCAATACAATTTTGTTGTATACAAACTACATAGGTATTCAAAAATATATTAGTGACATATTTTTCTTCCAAACTCCAGAAAATGTTCATATGTTTGTAAATAATAATTTTATTTCTTAGAAAGACAGGGCTTTAATGCTTTGTCACATCTTAAATACCCCCCTAAGTTCGGTTCCCTGTGTGCTTACCCCAGGGCAAAGAGGTAATAGTACAGCTTCAACTGAGAAGTGATTTGGGGGATCCCGAAATTACATGTCGAGTAAGAGTCAGTAGGGAGTAGGGTTACGCAGTATGTAACTGATGGGAGCAAAATTCATTCATTAATTCATTCTCTTCAAATGTTGCGAGGGACTATATTTTCTATCATGGGATTCATCTTTCAGTCTTGTATTACTGCAATTTCTCTACTCCCTGCTCTACAATCGTAAAGACGGTGTCTACCGCATAAACACTAAGTATTCAGTAGCATGATTTCTGCATAACGTATTTGCCATTACTGCATTGGAGTATCCGTAATTTTCTGCATGCATCTTTCAGAAACCATGTAGCAACGTATGCCACATATTTAATATTGTATCCGACCTACCACTAAAATACGACATGAAAAGTGAAATATTCACTTTTGAGTAGTTTTCACTTTCCAAATCTGATAAAATATAAAGTACCAGTTTCAGAGCTCAATATAACTCGTTCTGTAGTGGTAAAATTTCTGTCGATTTTATTCAGTAAGCATACCTGAACTGATTTGTAAAAGTAATGTATACTATCTGTAATATTTTGTAATGACGTGGTAAAAAAGTTTATTTAATGTTGTAAGTATTATGTTTAAATATAGTGATCGGACGGCACTCTTATAAATTGATATTGGTACATTTATTTTACCAAATGCTTAATGAATAACGAGAGTTTGTGCAATCTCTCGGTAAAATAGTGTAAAATAGTAAATTATGTTTGTTTTATACTTTTAAGGAAACGGCAGCACGAAAGCCTGATTGTTAATTAAATACACCTAGTTCATACGCTTGCATGAAATGGTAAGAGTTTATAAATTTCAAGTAATGATATTCTTTGTACTGAACTTCTCAGTATTTGTAGATAGTATCGTGTTCTGAGCTTACGTAAAAATCATCAGAAGAAAATTTTAGAATGAAGTGATTAGAGTTTTATAATGAATGATAGTAGTAGGTATTGTTGAAGCCTATGGACTCAGTGAACGCAGAAGACACGCAGAAGAGCACAAATAATTTTTGTTGCATATTGAGTGACTTGTGTAGCACATCAATAATGTATGAAAACTAATCATTCAAGGAAGTATGAATTCTTGATCGGAAGAGAGGTGCAGAATGAAAGTAGAATGTACATTATACTACTGAGTTATTGGAAAAAATGTTATGTTTCTATGTGATGTTTAATATAGTAATGATAATGATGATATTGATAATTCTAGAACTTCACATAACTCGGGAGTGAATGAATGTTGCCTCACATCGTGAAGTTGAGGAGTGACATCTGAAACGATTGCCTTGTAAATTGTGATATTTGCGTTTTAACGTATAATAGTATGCCAAGTTGATGAGCTTCTTTAAGTCATATTAAATCAATTAAAACGGCTTTACCCACTCAAATTTCTTTCTTCTTTAAAGGTTTCTTAGTTAATGAGCCAACAATATTTCAAAACAACTGATTACATAAAAAGTAAAACACCAGACAGTTATGGACAATCAAACACAAGCTGGTGCTCAAACGACACTAAACTAAACGCATTTACCCACATTCAAGTGGTAATTTTGATTTATTCCAAGTTAACTTTTGACAAGATTGTGATTACTATGTAGCACGAGTCCTTGCAAGGCAACGACATTTCTGGCATTCTATCGAATTTATTGCGTTTTTCGGATTCAGTACAACTTGGTATTGGACTGTGAAATGGTACTATGTTATTCAAAATTGTTCGCACCGTGCTTATTACTATTATTCTATCATTTAGCGTACGACTTTGCGTTCCGAATGAATCCGCTGATCACATGCATGAGTTTTCTGAACGAAATCGCCATCTTGTTTAAGCATGATGCATGCTGGGAAACACTGGCGACAAGCCAGCTAATTGCCAGCGCCGATTAGAGCCTTTGCTACATAAAATAGGCCAGTCAGCCACAGCTCGTTCGAACGTTTATTACTTTATTTATTAATATTATTTATATTATTTGGATTGTTTAAGATATAGAATTTAACTTTTTGTCTTGTTATCTTATCGTTCATTACTTTCGTTATATTAATTTCCTAAAACATTCGCATTTTGCTGACCTGTCGTAATTTAACACTGTTTTCTCTGTCGCTGGTATCTACCGCACATTCGAGCGAGTCCAATAAGGGTGGGAGAAGGAAGATGACGTCACGGTGAGGGGTGGGGATGGCAACGATTCATCGATGTTCAAAAACATCCACGCTAACGCTTCGGGGCGTTCGTCCAAGTCGTATGAAATAGATGAAAAGAGGTTTGAGACCAAAGTATCAACGACTCTTGAGTGAAGTAACGCGTCTCGTGCTCGAACAACGATTTAGTCGAACGTTGAAACATAGAATGGCGTTTTACGCGCATTTTGCCGACCATCATTTTGTGATTACTTATACTGATGAGTAATAGTATAAAAAACATTGAAATGCCATAACCTCGCTTAATTATTTTAGTGGATCCGCGTAAATCCACCAAGAGAAATATTGAAAGATTATTGCGTCCCCATACCACTACCACAACACAAAATATTAGAAACCTTACACAACGAAAATAATGTTGGCATTGTCTGAATAATATTTTTGAGTGAAATCAGAAAAAAGGGAAGAAACAGTTATCATAAATGCCCATTTTATGAATTTTGAATTTTTAACGTAGGTAATAGTTTGTTAATACATATACGTTGTGTCGAAAAATTTAAGTGTTTAGGATGTAAATACTTGTTTCCTCCTGTTACATTTAAATTAATGAGATCACAATATTTGCCGACATGCAAAGAAAGGACTGTTGGATACAATGTAACTTCCGTCAAGATTTTCTGAAAATGTAAAATGAGATGCTTAAATACTTACTGTAAATTAAGAATAAATCGAATTAAACCTTATGTGTAAAATCATCGATGTTCATTGGTTCGATGTTATCGATGTCCGATACATCGATGGTTCCATTATTTCGCCATCCCTCTCCGCGGAATCCGGGCAGGTCTCCCCGCCCCCGCCCCCGCCCCCTTGCCTCGCTCCGCCCGCCCGCCCCGAAGCCCAAGCGCCGCCCGCGACCACGCCCCCAACCACCGGCCGCTCTTCTCTGCAACCGCCCCGCCCCACCCCGCTCGACGGGCCGAAAGCCGCAGGAAGCCCCCGCTAGCCAACGGTAGGTCTGCGCCGGATCTCACCATCCAGGGGGACAAGATCACCGCCACCTCTCGAGGAAAAAGCATGCCCTACACTTATGGGACCAATATTCTTAGCAGTTGACGCGCTCGGGAAAATCAATCAGTCAATGAACCAACCAATCCCAGGGTCTCAGCATTTCATTGCCACCCGGCACCTCCCACATCGCGCACACGCTCCGCACAGTAAACGACATCCATTTTGTGATCTTATCACTGGGTAACAATCACGTCTCTTGCAGTGTGCCAGTCGCATATCGTATAACGAGCAACACATCAAGCCTAAGAAATTGTTCAATGCTCCGTTCGTGTTAGTAGCTCGGTAGTCAGAGAAACTGGGCGTAAACTAGAGATCGATTCCCAGTCGGGTGGATTATTGCTGTGAACAATACACCGTTTTGGGTAAATTGTGTAGGTTACTTAAATTGTCGCCAACGACTACCACAGAATCTCTTTACGTAATCTACAATTCACTTTCGTACGCGAATAGGAAAATTTTGTGAAGATTTTATATTCGCCTAAAAAATCCAAACTATTTTTGACATTTTCTCTGAAATTGAAATATACTACGAATAATAAAACATAAACGATGCAATAATTCTACATAATTTAGAGACACAAAAGATGTAATTCTTAAATAAATTGATGGTAAGTTAACATACATATTATCATGTACACATAAATGGGTAGGTTAGCACCCATATTTACACCCCCGCCCCTGATTATCTTTGAAAAACACCTCCTCTTGTATACAATCAAACTGAAACTTCTCAGAGAAGAAAACTCACGATTCCCCCCCCCCCACAATAAACCCAGCCTCAGAGTAGAACTCGTGCGATAGTGAACTTGAAACCCCTAGTGAGAGTAGTTGGCTGCGTTGGAATAGCGGTTGCAGGGAGAGCGGTCGGGCGGGCCCCGCCCCCGTCCGGGGGAGGGCTGAAGGGGAGGGGCGACGGGGCGCCCCCTCCCCCCATCGCCGGCGCGGGCTGTTGCGGGCGCCCTGCGAAGGGAACGCCTGCCATAGCCCGCGCCACTGCCACGGTGACGGCTTCAGCGCCCAATTCGCCCTCTATTGGCAACACTGCAAGTGTGTGATGAGCCATCGCACCTTTTAGAGGGATAACGGACTCTTGAGAGACTCGCCCACCCAACGCTTTGGACTAATCGGTGTTCACCAAATCCCAGAGGAACATTTACCCCGCAGGAATGGAAATTGCAAAATAGAATGGAAATTGTACATTTAAGAAATTGAACCACATCGTGACTCAAAAATTTTAGAAAAAGTATCCTTTTCGAAATGTCTTTCGATTATCAAAATTGCATTACAGTGAGATGTGATCATTTAAGAGTTTTGAATTACACATATTCTTAAATAATTTTAAGAGTAAACCAGTTCAAATCCGTATTATTGGCATCTCAGAACAAAATGATATTAAAGGAAATAATCACATGGAATACGTTAATACGCGATCTCATTGCAATATTTAAAATGTGTCAATTTTGTATTGTACTCTATGTTGGTAAATTAAAGCAAAGTGCTACGATGTTTATAACAATACTACGATTGTAATAAAGTTGTAGGTTTCTTTGTATCTTAGTTCCGCATATGTACTTTGAAATACATATTAACGTAAAGAATCCAATAGTTCAAAAGGAAAGTTCAAAATTATCTATTTTTATGTTGTTTCAAGTAGCATTTTACAGAAAAATCAATAACATTTGTACAAAGACTTTTTTAATATATTAAATCACCTTATCTTATAACACCACACTAACCATATTTTTATGGAAATGATTCATAGTTAAAATAAATAGAATTATTTGATGATTCACTTTTCAACGCTCGAAACACTACGTAATATAGAGACGAAATGAATGTACCTTGATCCTCTCACTGTGATGTTTCTCCTTTAATATAACAAAATTACGCTACACATTGTAATCTCAAGAGAATGACAGTATAAATCCTCATAATATGTAACATTTATTACAATGGTTTCAGTAATGCTTCAAGAAATGTGTAAGTTCTGAAAACGGTTTTTAGGACGGTGAGATACTCCAAAACTGAGGTTAAATTAGCAGGTTATTTACATGGAGATCTAAGTGCATTCCTTCGAATACCTCGATTAATTCTTTACGGAAAGAAAATGCTTCAGACAAATTTGTAGAGATGTTAATTTCAAAAAAGAAGTAATAATTTACATAATTTCTCGGACAATTTAGAATATTACAATAAACAATATTAGAAAAATTAATTTCACTCATGCAAGAATATTTGAAATCTCGCGATCACACAAGAGAAAATATAGCCATAAAAAGCGCAATTCAAGCATAAGTTAAAAATTAAAAAAATAAAACATGAGCACAAATTTTCCTGACATGAAATTCTAAATTGTCTTGGAATCGTAACCGCATAGAAAAAAGAGCCAAAACAAGTATTTTATTTTTTCTCTGCGTCTTGTTTGAAGCCTGTTTTCGGTCTGGTAAGAAAGTAGTGAGATATTTGTAGCAAGGCATTTAGCCCCTTCATGCAGAATGGCCTTGGGGTACGTTGGCTTGCAACCAAAGCGGAATGGCTTAGCAAGTTCAAAGCAATGGTTTGGCCTTTGGCGGCGCCTCGGGCGGCGAGCGAGTCTGGCAGGAACGGAACGCACCGCGCCCCTCCTCGGGCTCAGGACTCATTTGTTTACTCTGCGCAGAGGTTCATGTTCAAGCAGCCGGGCCACTGCGACGGCGGCGGCGACGAGTGCAACGCGGAGAGGGCGGCGGCGGCGGCGGCGCCGGGCGGCTGAAGCGGCGCGTTCACGGGCGCTGCGACGCGGCCCACCCGCCACACTGACGCGTAAGCACATCGGGGCCGGCGGCTCCCCCCTCTCAGGTGCCCATCGACTCCTCGCCACCCACCGGACCAAGCAACCACCAGCGCCGGCGCCAACGGTCCTCGGCCACGCCTCCCCGCCGACTCAGGGCTCAGGAGAGGCCTCGCCGCTGGCCACAGCTCCTCAGGCGCTGGGAGAGCGGGGCTGCGCAAGTGCGAGAGTAGGGGGGTAGACTTCCCGCGGGACACTCGCCTTTCACTAGACTAGAACCCGACCCTACCTCTCCTCTACCACTAGCGACGGACTGACTCAATAAGCAGGGAGCCACGCCTGTGGCCCGCGGATAAACGCGCGGGTCACACACTTCAGCATCCTTGAAGGTGCTATTTAAGGCATGTCATGTCATGGAAGGCGTGACGGTCAGTCTCAGTACACTCTGGATTTTAAAGGTATTCATGTGGAAAACGGCGTAAAAATTAATGAATTATTTTATTGGGAAGGATTTTAAGTTCACTTTTTTCCTCTTGTCTGTCTTGACTAATCACTCTAAAATAAATACACTAGAAATACATCATTTAGAAAAAATGCATCATGTGAGTTAAAATTTACGTGTAGGCGTAGATTGTTTGAGAACTTCTGACCCAGAATCTTTCTAACGTTACAAAACATCGATCGCCCTATCCACAACCAACAACCACTATTTTCATAAAAATCGCACAAAAAATATCTGCAACAATGACAAATATTTAAACAATATTTTCGTATTCCACACACAATAGGTTGTATACGTTTTTAGAAACTGTATTTTTGTAATATCAATGACGGTTAACCGAAAACAGTGATCAATGAAACCATGTTGAGAAAATATTTTATTTTATATAAAATGTAAAAACATATTTTATACATCTTTTTACATACAATAACCGTTATGAAACATGAAATTGAGTGCTTGCGCCCATAAAGAAACAAAATACCAGCGTCAGTTTGCTACAAGAAAATTTCGATTTCAATGGCCCCATTCTACTCCCTGAGCCTCTGTGCACGCGATGTCTGCCACGAGTTGCTTCTCAGGATCGAAGGCCACAGCCGGCCTGCACGCCTCTTGTCCTGTACGCTTTTACGGCACCTGTCGCTATCACGTTTCAGTCGCATCCTTATAAAAAGTCACTTTCACTTCACACACTTGAGATTCCCAACTAAATTGCTCTTTGAAAATACGTATCTTAAAATACATTTCACAGACGCCTACGATACGTAAGACGGTCAAAGATGATCACCTTTTGCCAATGAATACGGGGTGGAACATTTCATGTAACGAAGTTACACATTTGATATTTGACCTTGATTGGTAGGGAACACATTTTGCCCTGGTGTTCAGCAAGTAAATGAAATGACTTTGTCAGATTTAGGACGTGACCTGTCAAACACTTGTGTATATTGAGTTGCCTACAAATCAGGGGCAAATATTACCGTTGTCGTTTTATAATTTTCCGCGATATGTTTATTGACGCAATGTGATGTTCTGCTACATCCAAACCTCCTAGAAGTTTGCAACTTTTATTCTCATATATTATGTATCTATTGTTTGCTGCCAATTAAGCAATGCTATTGTCGGTGATGAATTTTTTTAGACAAGTTTGCATCTTACTGATAAGATTTTCGATGTAATTTCCTTGATTTTCTCCTGACATTTTCTGGTATTTTATATAGCATTTTATCTCAAAGTTTTAGAATCACCTCTACAATATGATCACGACTGTTTGGCCGTAAACTCCGTGTTTATCTGTAACTCTGTGCATGTTACGATTAAGGAAATCTATTAACGCATTTTCAAAAATGAAAAATTGGTGGTTTGTGCAGGTTGAAGGGAGATACGTGCAGTTTTGTATCCGAAAATCGTTTTGTACATACGGATGGCTGAATGAGTGTCACGCATAACTCT